GAGAGAGAGAGAGAGAGAGAGAGAGAGACCCATGGCTAATTAAAGCTGAAGATACCAGTCAATTTTGTAAGCAACCACGACTGCTGATAGGTCATTCGTTGCCCTTTTCTTTGCATTATTTAGGTGGAGATGCATCCTGCTTGGCAGCAAGTGAAGTTAAGAGAATACTGCAAGGAGAAGGGAATTCATGTGACAGCATACTCCCCAATCGGTGGATACAACGGTCCGCTGCTCAAAAACCAACTCATGGACTCTGACGTGCTCAATGATATAGCCAAAGCCAGAGGAAAAACTTTCGCACAGGTTTCTTTTCTCTTTCCCTGCCAAATGACATACTCTCTTCAATATAAAATTTAATTTGCTTCCATATATTCTGTCTGAAATCTGATTAGATATGTTTGAGATGGGTGCACCAACAAGGCGTCAGCTTGGTCGTGAAGAGCTTCAACAAAGAGAGACTAAAAGAGAATCTTCAATTTTTGGATTGGGAGCTAAGCGAAGAAGAATGCCGAAAGATTAGCCAGATTCCCCAACGTAAGAACTTTCATCTCGAGTCAATTCTCCCGGGTGAAGAAAAGTTGTGCTTCAATATTGCAGAGTTTGAGTTCTATTGAGTCTATGTTTGGGGTGACGGTGTGATGTCTGTTTGATAAAATATATTTTACTTGTGTTTTCAAAAAATTGTAACTGAAAGTTAGGTTTTGTCACCGGACCTGACTACTTGTAGTCGTTGCTAGAAAGCGACCATTTGATTTTGTCTCTTCCTACCGCACATGTTAAATGATTCAAATGAGTGATGGTGTTTATTTTGTGTTATTAAAATTATGTATATTATATTGCAATATAGTGTGTGTGTGTGTCGTGGTCTGTTGGTAGAATAGTCTCTCTGATAGTTGAGGTCCCCTCAGATCAAGGGTTCGAATCCCCATGTGTAGGGTGTTGTACTTGAATATTTAGCAAGCCTGGAGATGGTCAAAGCTTGTCAAAAAGCCTCCCATCATCCTTTATATATATATATATATATCGACCCTCAAAATACAAAAAAAAAAATTCTTAAAATTTACATAATCTAAATTGATAACATAATATTTTTGTTATGAATATATAATACAATTAATGATTTTTTTCATTTTATTGCTCAAAAAGAAAATTCTGAAAACATGATGTCAATAATTTTATAGAATACTTTACAATTAGTTTTTATCCTTGCATTATGATTTTATTGTTACAAGTTATTATTATTATTATTTTTTTCTTTTAATAAAGTTAACTCAATCAAAATCACAAATTCTTTTTTTTCGCTTTAGCCATTTATATTCTACCTTCGGATTAATTAATTTCTTAAATAGATAAGAATATTAGCTTTATATATGTTTAATTAAAATATATCTATTATAAAATTGAATTAAAGATCAATAGATGGATGATATCTTAATCACTTAAATTGAGAAATGAAAATTGGATACTTCAATAAATAAAAGTCCAAATGATCTACACATAGGACTGTCAAAACGGCTCCTTGTTCACGAACAACCCGTGTTCGACTCGTTAAGAAGCTCGTGTTCGGCTCATTAATTTCGTTCGATAAGTTAACGAGCCGAACACGAACTAAGATGTGTTTGTTCGTGTTCGGCTCGTTTTGACTCGAAATACTACTCATCAAGTTT